ATATATATATATATATATATATATATATATATATATATCAAAAGAAATTAAAAGATGATTTTTTAAAAAAATAAAATAAAAAAAGGGTTTATGTCTTACTTGAAGAAGGAACTGCAATTGTTGAGATTAGAAGAGAAAATCCCACAAATATTAGTAACAATAAACTGAGGAAAGAAACCTTTTTCTCCATTTGATTTTATGACAGGAAAAAGATAGATCTGAGAACAGAAAAATATGACAGCTAAAGGTATTGTCTTTTTATAGGAGGAGCCAATTATTTTAATAATTTTGTAATATTAAAATTGAACTTTTACTTACCTGTCATAATTAATGACCTTATATGTAGTAAAAAAATTTTATTGCCGTAATTAAATTTGAATCACGAATTATAAGGATCATTTTATAATGTATTTTGTTAAGAATGAAACAATCTTTTCAACGTAATTTACGTGGTTACTTCATTAGCAATTACTGTTTTATTAACTGTTGTCACCTTATCTGCACAGTATTTAGTTTTTATTCTGTTTCAAAGTTAGATATTTAGGTAAATATAATTAATTAATGCTAATAAGTGATTGATATGGTAAGATTGAATTTGCCCCTTTTAGAAAAGAAAAAAAAATGGTTTTATACATACATTGGGACACGTCATTAAATTATTATAGTTTTCGACTAAACGGAATATATTTTGTGTGATATAATTAATTTGTACTTTTGTTAAATATATAAATAGTGAATTCATTTATTATATTATTTTCAACAGTATGCCACTTTTCTCTAATATTATACTATTATATTTTTACAATATATGTCCCGTTAATTATGTGGAAAAATTTAAATTCGACCAAACACTATGTCCTACTAATTACGTGTCCAAATTGAAACTAATTAGTAAGATTAGTGCATCTGTACCTAACCTAAATGTCAAGCTACTAAGCGCGGTTCTTAAATTAGTTGATATCTACCATGTGGTTTCGTATTCATAATTGGATCACATCTCTTAAATTTTAATTAATATATTTAAATTTTAAAAATATTATTATTTCTGTTATAGAGATATTTTTTTTAAAAAAAATAAATTATATAAATTTAAATTAGTTAGATCAATAATTTTAGATCTGATGATCGTAACAGGATAGATATCTAAAAATTAGCTACGACTGTTCGAAATAATAGATAGAAAAAGAAGAAGAGGAAATGTTTATTTTATGTTATTTTTATTATTTTATTTCTTTAAAATCATGTTAGTTTTCAATTTTTTAATTTGTATAATAAATATTATTTTGTAAATAAAAAAGAAATAGTGATTGAGTGGGTATTTGCCTAACATTATCCGAATAGCTGGTTAAGGTTTTAGTGCGAGACACGGAGACAGACACATTTCCACTCACACAACCCAATTAATGGATATTACTATTATGAGATAAAATTGCTCTGTTGATAATTAGTTCATATTTTTTATTTTAAAATTATGAATTTAAATGGTCAAAGAAAAAGATGAAAAACTTATCGAGGTGTGTATTTTTTTTCTTTCATATTTCTATAAGAAGAATCAGTATTGATAATACTTTTCATAATTCTTAAAAATTTTAAAATTTTTTAATTAAGCTTACAAATAAATTAAGTTAATTTTTGAAAAGTGAAATATGAGAATTATTTTTAAAATAAAAGAATATTATAAAATAATAATCATTTGTTTTAATTCCATATAAAGGATAAGAAAAGAAAATTAAAAGAGAAAGTTATGAGATGAGAATTAAAAACTTACTAATAAAATGAAAATTTATATTCTCTATCGAACAATATTTGTTGATTATATATTATTTTAAATTTTTTAATAATATTTATTCAATGAATCATTTTATATTTAGTTTCAAATCTACTTTTATTATTAATTATAGTCCTTTCTACGTGCGGCGGGTGAAATAGAAAAATTATTAATTTCTTCAGAAAAATTTAATAATTTAATGAAAGACTAATGTCAACTTTAACCTGTGACTTTGTATTTTAGAGCTTAATTGGTCCCCCATTTGACCAATTAATAATAAACAAATATTATTGAAGGCTGCAAAACTCCAAATACTCTCAACCCAAAAATCCTTTCTTTTCTTATCATCGAATAATTTCTTATTGAGAAAGGTGTCCAATTTATTTCTCTTTATCTTCTTTGATTTTGATGGGAATTAAATATATGAATTGCAAAAATCTTTTTGGCCAAAAAAATTTGGCCATAATTTGATCATAATAATAAAAGCATATGTTCATACTGTGATCTAGTTTATTTTAGATATTTTTAGAGAAATTGATTTAAAACCTTTCTAATATATACTCAAAATTTTAACTACACATTTTAATTTTACAATTATCTTGTCATCTCTCTGAATTGTTTAAAATTAAATAATTTATTCCCTGGACACTTACGATAGTGAATGTATCTCTCTCTTTTAGAGAGAGTGAGAACCAGTACAAATAATAAATGTTTATTTTTAATTATTAATTTCTTATTAATTTTGTGTTTTCTTCATAATAACATAAATCAAATCTATGGCACCACCAAAGTTCTTCACCATCTTGAAATCATTCGTATTACTATATTCATTGATACACCAAAATCATTTGATATATGCACCATTTTTTAAAAAAATCAAAGCAAATTAAGCTTGGATAAGCTTAATACATGAACACCCGAATGATTTTCTTCAATAAATTTTGAATATTAAGATAATTTTTTATCTTATATTTAATACCCAAAAAATCCGCGACTACTTTTAATAATTATTCCTTTTCCTACGCATCTGAAAAGTTCTTCATCTTCTTCATTTCATTACTTTGAAATTTGATATAAAATCACCCTAAATCATCTCCAAATTTCCTTAAATTTTAAATATAAGTTTCTCTCAAAGTTTCCAACCTTTTGATAAATTATCCACTCAAAGCGATGCTCGTTTGTGACAAGTAAAATTGTTAGCTCAAGCTTTTAGACCAATTTTAATGGAGGTTTCAATCTTTTCAATTTCCATAAAATTTTGGGCGGTCTTTAAATTTGAAAACACAGCCGGAAACTCAATATATTCTACTTCAAATAATTAACAACCATCTATATTATCAACAATATGTTTCAAATTGAAGATCTAAAATACATTCATAATTTTTGACTTTTTGACATTAAATTGTTCTTTAAATAATAAGTCAACAAGAAAAAAGAATTTAAAAAAAAATTAAATAAAATTTCTGCAAAGAGTGAGTCTCACCCATTAGCATAGATGTGATTATGATGTTTTAGGGGTGAAATAATTCTTCTTTTAAGCAGTTCAGGGGTGATATCGTAGGAGTATTTAGTTGGAATTTTAGGTATAGATCGAAGGAGTTTTAGACTATTTTCTCTACATTTTTATCCTTTAACTTAAATAGTGAATATATTCTTTTAATTATGTTTTCAATGCACTGGAAATGATTGATGAGATTAATTATTTAAGATTCCATAGTTAAACATTAAAAATGAAAAATCCTTTTGGCCATAATTTGTCCGTAATGGTCCAAATATGTGTTCACACTATAAAGTGATTTATTTTTTGACAACTCTACCCTTCTTTGTCAAATTTATATTTTTCTTATTCATTCATTTATTAATTAAGCTTCAATAAATAAAAAAGTTTTTTGATACATAGTAAATTGACTAATTTTTAGATTTCTCTAACTTACGTACATACATGACTTTTAATTTTTTATAGAAATATTGTGAAATGGTCAAAGACCAATACATATTTTCTCATAAAATATATATATATATATATATATATATAATAAAAAATTTAAATTGATATTAGAATACAAAAATTTAAATTAAGAATATAAAATTTAAAATTTACATTAAAAAATAAACTTACTCATAAAATTACAAATATCACTGCAAAAAAATATTTTTAGTTTTTTTCTTTTCTCTCTTTTATTCCATTCTTACTCTTTCTTTTTATTTTTCGCCCTTTTCAAACTAAATAATTTAGATAATGATAAGCAAATAAATCCATAATAAAATATTTAAGACTGAAACTAATCGTTGAAATAAAAAAGAAAACAAAAATCACTTGTAAGAAGTATCAAATATATAACTAAACTTTATGAGATGGATCATATGATCCTTATATGAGTTTTGTTTTAATAAAAAACCAAAACATATAGATTCTAAAAAATTGATATTTTTACTTTCATCAAGCGAAACAGTTATCCGAACTATTTGTGTAAAAATAGATATATGTAAGCTACTTTATTTAACAGAATTATATTGAATTTAGATCGTAAAGTTATTATTATTATAATAATAATAATAATAATAATAATAATAATAATCCAGCATAATTTGCAAAACATTTTTATAAAGATAAAAGAATATGTTAGAAATCAACACATTAAAAAAACTATTTAAAAGTAATTTATATTTAAATATTATTTTAAAAAAATTCAATAACGACATTTAAAAATTCGATACGCTTTAGACATGATGGATATCAATACATTATAAAAATTATAAAAATTACATATTTCATACGTATTGATCTTAGTTATATATAATAATTAATAGAAACCTCAGAGAATTATGTATTAGTGTTGTAGTTTCGCGCCCATATTTTATGCATGTTTTATAACTTGAATATGATTACTTATATTTATTAAGTATTAATATAACCTCTAATTAAGTATTTTTACAATTGTCATATTTAAATAAATTCAAATCATATGTTTAAATTTTTTAAAATAATTGTTTAAGTTATATCAAATCAGTAGTTATACATAAAATATGTACGTGTAATCATTTGATTGTTTGAATTATATACTTTTTAACCTTGATAACTAAAGTTAATATAATTTTTTGATTTTCTAATTTAAAAATATGTCTTAATATAATTTTGTGATTATATATATGATTTTATTGATTATTTAATTAAGAACAAACGTATACAATACATACATATATATCAAGGATAACCCAAAACTTATTTTTATAATAACATACAAGTAAATGTAAACGATGAGAATATTTATCTATGTTTGAGTTTATACTAACCTAATCAATCTGATTTTTCAGAAGAAACTCTATACATATACACGGTTTATAAATAGATAAATATGACAGTAGACCCAACTTAAATGATTTATTTCTATTAAATGAGTATTACTTCATTTTTTGATTCATGTGTTCCAATGTTTGTTTGTTAGTAAAGTGCAAAATAAGGCATTGGAAGTTAACATTCGAGCAAACTCAAAGAACACTTGATGGGCCTAATAAGATTT